AACTACAGCACGACCACGAAAAGGTCAAATGGCAACGAGTACGTGAGCTTGTTTATGAAAAACAAAGACGTAGAAGTAAGTGGATGGTAAAATACAATACATGAGTAAGTACGCGACACCGCGGCACACGGCTGTTCTCAGTGTAGCCGTATGTCCCACAACACGACTGGTCCGGGATGTTTTTGTAATCCCCAGAAGAAACTCAAACATATTATTGAGAAGAAAGTCACATCCAGTATCTAAGCCCCCGGCGGCTCCAGAGATTAAGTCCCAGACACAATGGATTAAACTCTTTACTCCATATTCATTTCCTGTCGCTCTTTTCCCCCCCGATTCTTCTTCTACCTCCGTCTCACTGGCTTTGATCCTCCCCTTTGGCCGCCGTGAGAAACGGAGTCATTAAGAACCTGCCGTGCTGGATGGAGGACCTTTTCTAACGGCCGTTATTTTCAACAAGGGGTTGAAGCCTACGCATCCTTTGAGTCTCCCTCCAAACGACGCTGCTGGCTGTCTGTTGAGAACAAACGCGCATACGTGCACACGCTCGTAGACACAAACACACAAAACATCTGCTCGCAAAGTTCAGGCAGCGAGAAAGTTCCTTCTGTTCAGACCTTCACTGTGTGTGTGTGTGTGTGTGTGAGTGTGAGGGATGGAAAGCGGCAAAATAATGAATTGCTCCCTCTGTTAAAGTGATGTTTGGCAAATTAAAATGAATGAATGTGTAGACACAAACACACACACAAACACACACACCTCCACAGCATATGGCTGCTTAGGCCAGGTCTGTGAGGAGAAATGTTCCCCATCAGGCCCAGTCATGACATTGACCACCTGTGACATCGGCGCTCTCTCCGCACCCCTCGCCTCCCCCAGCGAGGAACGTTCCTGCCTTTGTTTGATCCGTCGGAGCCTGCTGACGCGAGAAGAGTTGGAATCCTCCTCCGTGCAAAGCTGCTGGCTACAAAAAACCATTTTGCGTCCGTCCGCCACGAGCTAATTAAAAAACACCAGCGCGCTCTCCTCGACCTGGGCCGTAGGTCACGGCTGCAATATGAATATATCGGTCCCGGGGTTGTTTTGACCGCTGCTGGACGGCAACAACAAAGAAGAAAAACACACTCAATTATGTGTGAAGTCCAGAGCCCATGTGAGAGCACGAGGAAACAAACATTGTGCGTGTGTGTGTGTGTGTGTGTGTTGGGTGGGGAGGAGGGAGGAGGGAGGGGGGGCACATCAGAGGTATGGCAGTGGAGCAGGGCGATAGAAGGGGCAGGCAGTATGAGCTCTGTTAGACCGGAGCACGCTGTGGGGGAAGTGACAGCTTGCACGTTCTTGGCCGGGGAGTGTGGACGTGCCGGGAGTGGGGAAGCTTCAACGCGGCGGCGGCGTGGAGGTTGTGTGTTTGTGCGTGCGTGCGTGCGTTGGATACGCAGAACGGGGGTTAGCCGCTGGCACCCGGGCGTAAATTGAGAGCCTGGGGAAGGCGCGCGGACAGACGCGCGAGATGGGGCCTGGGACTCTGGGAGCGATGCATATCGGATCAATAAACTTCATAAACAACATCATCAGCCCGGTCACCACGAAGACAGCCGACCGCCAGGCACCATCTGGCCCCGTCTCACCGGGGGCCGCGGGATCAGCCAGCGCGACCTCGGCTCGCGAAACACTGGCGTGCGTGCGCGCGGGCGGCTCCGCACACACTGCTTCACACACACACACACACACACATTGTTACACAAATAGTGAGCTGACACGCATGGGCGCACACACAGGTGCTAGAGCCAAGTAGACGCAAATGATTTGGCGCGTGAGAGTGTGTGTGTGTGTGTGTGTGCGCGCGCGCAGCACAGCAGCTAAGCAGTTTATTCAGGAACAGAAGTTTGTGGCTTCTGTAACAGTAAATCCTGTAGCATCATAATGACCGTGAAAGAGAAAGAGAGGGAGCAAAGCCACATAAAGAATAACTTCATGAAAAGCAGCGAGTGAGGGATGGGGCGGCGAGGTGAGCGAGGGGGCGGGGGGGGGAGGAAGACATGTCTTGTTCAGACAAGAGGGAAGCTGTAAAGAAAGGTGCAAATTAGTCTTTTCTATGAGGGTTCAAAGGAAGTGTTATGAATGAATCACGGCGTGTGTGCGGGGCGCGAGCAAATCAGAGCGTTTCATCTCACACTGCAGAAATAGAAGTTGTTATCCAGATTATATTAATACCTGAAAATGACGTGGTGAGACTTTTTTTGGAGCCGTATTACAGGTGTGCGAGGACTTTGAAGGGCAGAAAGTGAGAAACAAAAAGAATTATAAAACTATGGGGATGCAGATACTTGACTCCAAAAGTTAACATTCAAATTATTTCTTTCTCACAAAATATAACAGAATAACAATAATAAATGCAATCTATGCAAGTGGCGGAACTAGTTGTCCTTTTTATCGTGTTGCCATGGATACAGGTAGTGTTGCGAAAGCCTTGAATCTTAAGAATGCACAAGCAAACAGACTCTTCTAGTCAACTTTTTGATGGAGTGTCCTCTTTAGACATCACGAAGAATAAATTGACTTGAATCAAATCTACTTCAAAATGACTTTTTACATCCTCTATTATTTGCGGTGTGGCTCAAAAACGTGGACTAGAACCTTCGTAAACGTGTTTTTGCAATACGTACTTAATTCAGCAATTATTAATTAACTACTACTAATTAACATGTGCGTTAATTCCTCCTAAAGAGTCGAGTATAACTAGAAGAGCATTAAATACTTAACAAACCGTGTGACCGCAAAAGACACTCGAGAAAATAATCAAACCCCAAAGTTGCCTGTTGGTTTAAGCGGTTGTGACCAATCAGAGAAGTTCACTTTTCACGCACGATTCACATGGGAAGTAAAAGCACCCACTTGTGTATCAATAAATCCATCAGTGCTTCAGAACCGGCGGACATCCCACCAGCTGCATGAAGAAGCCCGATACCGGATATGATCGCGTGACAGCAGCTGTGGTTTGGTAACTCTCAACCGGATCCTGTAATGCGGGAACCAATCTGCTGGTCAGAGGTGTGAACAAATGGAAGAATTTCTCCCTCCGTTTGTCTCTCCCATCGGGGAGGGAGGGCTCGCTCCGACACTCGATTGAGTTAATTGAGATGGTGCAACGTGATGTGTATGAAATGATTGGAAGCGACATGTCTGCCTCTCTCCGCATAAAACTGTCCAAATAAAACATTTTCTACATTAAGTGGAAGGCCGTTTTTGTATCTCCCATAATGTCGCTAACATTGTATTTCATAGAAATGTGTTAATTCTTTAATGACTTTAGTGGAGGCAGCCAGGTATTCAGTAGGAATTAACAATGTCTGCAGTAAATAGCTGAGGGGAAACCATGAATTTAATGGCTTATCTTGATAATAAAATGCAGAGACTGTGCACATTTGGGCAGGATATTAAACAGTTCCCCTCCCGACTCAATTAAGATAAAGGGCAAAGAGAAAAGGAGCCGCTGTAGCTACATTACCAACATGTACTGGCTCCGGTATCCATCATCAGGCCAAACCTCTCCGTGCTAAGCTAGCGCTACTAGCGTTACCTCAGCGATCTCTGCCGCCACGCCCACCGGAAAATGGTCATCAAACTGATATTTAGTAGGATATAGGTAGGATTAATTCATGTATTTGAATAATAACAAAACCGTTGGCTTTTACACTTTTTTGCATTCCAACGTGGTCGAATAGTTTTGGTCCGGGGCGTCCGAGTCGGCGGCCTTTGTGACTTCTCACTAACCAGAGTGTTACAAAAGCGTCTGGAGGAGTTGTGCGGAGACTGTCCGTGCGTCTCTTGGTACCCGACGGTCAACACTACACTGACGTGGTTTAGGGGACATGATAGAAATTAGTGGGGTGGTGAGTCGCCAATCTTCCCACACTTCAGACAGACATTTATTCATCTTTCATTCTTACTTGTCTCTTGTTTGGGGCGCATCGGTAGGGGCGAGGGCGCGAGAGTCAACACTTTATAAGCAGGCGGTGTCTCGATTCTATCCTCATTATCACACTCAATGGAGCCCCATTAAGTTAACAGGCGAGCCATTTGCCAGGTCCATTCAAATTATAAAGCAGAGTCAATCTCGGTGTGAACCCACTACAAAACAGATGATGGAGTAAATAAATAAGAAAAAGGGCTAATGTACTCCACCAAAGCTTCCTCACGAGCACTTCTGAGGTGGTGACGGTCATAAAAAGAATGAAAAAGTTGCTGTCTGGCCATTTAAGTGCACAGCGAGGCCGCTGACAATCCCCTTCGATGACACACAGGGGGGCCGTTGGTATTCTAAATGGAGAGTTAGTTATCTCAGACACCTACTTCCAGTGACAAGTAGATTCAAACGGATAGTCCAAAATAACTTGAGATGCTGCCTCAATCTATGGCGCGTTACTCTGAGAAACCTTTCACAACAAACGCACACGTCTCGGCTCTGTCTGAATAATTACATCATTAATACCCCGCGTGAACATTTGTCTAAATAACGACACTGGCAGGAGAGCTGTGGGAGCTACGGAATAATATGCAAATGATCGGCATTTCAAAAAGCAGCCCGACAACGGCATTAAATGAAAGGCTGCGAAATACAGCCCACACCACACGCCCAGGGAGCCGCCGCTGTACAATTAATATGAAAGAACAGCTCCCGTGCACCTAAAATTACTTAATGACCTCCGAGATCAGACAAGAGAAAACCATTTGATTTATTGAAAAATCCATTTTATCTTCTCTTGATAATGTCGCAGGTCTTTTGTGGGGATGTCTAATGAGTATGGTCAGTTATCTAAATGGCTTATTATTCATAACAATTGGTGTGCCAGAATTAAAAATAGCTTCTGCGGCATGCTAATTGATAGACCGCTAAGGAATAAGAACTGTAAAATTCAAATTGTATCGCCGGCGATATTTTGTGTCAGTGTGTTTGCATATGTCTGATAGAGAGAGAGAGAGAGGGTCAAAGAGACACCTACATTTGGTTGTTGGGGATTATCTTGTGTCCGTCCTTGTACCATGTGACCAGGGGTCGGGGGAAGGAGGCGAGGGGAGGCTGGTTGATGATGGCTGCTCGGCCCTGAGTCACCGTCTTTCTCTGCTCCTCTGCGGAGAAGGTCCCCATAACTGGAGGAGGAAAAGAGATGTGAGAAACACGGGGATCAGTATCGATGTCTCCAATTACAGATCAGTGAAAAGGCCCCGTGGTCACAAATGATGTGGTTGTAGTTTGGTGACTTTACTCGCAGGTTTAGTTGAACTGCTGTAGATGGCGAGCTAACCGCTAACACGCTAGCTGTTGGAATCGCCAGCTTCAAAAGCCCTCAGAGATTATTCTCATCTCCACTCTACAGGGCCCTCAATGGTCCGCCGTCCGGATTCAACCTTCATTCAATTTAGACATATTTTGAACCCACTAGCATAGAAAAGCTAGTTAGCTCGACGTTAGCAGGATAGTTCATACGGTTTGTTCAAGAGGTAATGTTGAGATAATGTTTCCTCCATGGCCGATGCTCTGACTCTCTGCTATAAGTGTGTGTTAAAATTCACAAATTTGCTTTGTCATCAATACAAATCCAGTGACTGCAAAGATTCAATTAAATGATTCAATTACTTCTCATTTGTCTTAAAAAATAAACTGCGGATATACTTTTAGTGTTAGGTGTTTAGTGTTGGTATTTTAATGCTTAAATGCTTTTCACATATTACATGAAATAATTAAAAGTCCAACTGAAATTAAATTGCTCGTTTGGAGAGAAAAAGAGATTTTCTAATATATTTCAAAACGCCGTTGTTCCCTTTTCTTTCAGTTAATGCAACATAAGAAAATGAATTCATGGTATTTCCCACTGCAAAGAGGGATGACTGTTTGTTCCTGCCGCGTCCGTTTCCTTCAAGGATTGTGTCCTTAGAATGGAAGTACTCACAGGCCACCTGCACCTCCGTCCTCCCGTGTATGACGGCTCCCATCCGGTTCCTCACCACGCACTGATACAGGCCTGCATCAGTCCTCTTCAGAGACCCGACCGACAACCTAAAGATGGACACACACACACACACGGGCCGCATGGTGGTGAGGCTTCTTCCGTGTTTGAATTATTGTTTTAAATGAGCAGTATAACCACTAGAACCACTGTGGCCCATTTCATTTTTTGTTTAAAAAAAAAAAAGTTTTAATTAGATCATTAAATTTGGTTTATTTTATTATTGCGCATCGTTTCGTTACAGACAGAAAATTCAAATACATTTTGGGCCGTTTGGAGACCAACGAGGCAGAAAGAGGGTGGAGGTCTGTTTGTCCATGAGTAATTCTCTTTCATGACCTTGTTCGGATAATGGACTGGGCCTAATGTTCCCCAATAACAGAAGGGAAGGTGGGGTGGTGCGTACGTACAGTACACGTGTGTACGTGTGTGTGTGTGTGTGTGTGTGTGTGTGTGAGCTGTGTATGAGAATGTTTTTGACGGTGTGCATGTTTTTTTTTGTTCATTTTTCCTGAAACGGGCAGTTAATGGGGTTTTAATGGACTGTGCTTCACTAATGGGAAGTTTGGCTAAAGATCTAGGTTGGTGCCACGCTGGACAAACGCACACACACACACACACATATATATTACACACAGAGTAAAACTGGACATTGCTTTGGGGCTCATTATGAATACCAGGAAAGCCAAGTATTTAACTCCCAGGCTGTTAGTGTATGCTCAGTGCCAACACACACACACACACACACACACAGGAATGTGTGCATCACAGACTCACACAGGCAAGTCAATCTGAATCCGAAATGGCACATTACGCAGCAGCTCTCCTCCAGAAACAGATTTGGGTATTGGATACTCCATTACGTTCTAACAGGTGTGTGCGGACGCGCTGTCACTGCGATCTCCCATCATCACAACTAGTTTTCCTTCATATGCAGCACATCCCGAAACGCACACCTCCATGTTTACGGGTCCAAATCGATAGCATGGTGTCTCAGTACGTTTCTCTGACAGTCTCGGCCTTGCGTGTGAAGCCCCCGGTGGGATTTGAGATGAGAACAATTTCAATCAGGCTTCTTCGGTGAGACAGCTTCAGGGCAAATAGACCAAACGCTGAACCGTGTGATGTGTGCATTCATGGAATAATACTGTGGATGGAGAAGTACGGCTCCGTGTGGATATCCCACTAATGTGTTGTGTGTGAAGGCAGGTGGAGTTGCACAATTAGGCAGCATTGAATGAACACGTGGGTTGGCTGGAAAAAGCAGACTTTGTGAAAAACAACTTTATTTGTCAGCCCAAACTGTTATTACATTGTTGAAGAAGACACAACAGCCTTGTTGAGAGACATCTGCTTTTTGGGCTTTTACATTTTTTTTTGTATAACTTGGCAACGGATTATTTTAGTGCAGCTCATCATGTGTGGAAACAAGTGACGCTGGAGAAAGAGTTCCCATCAATGTAAATCAGTTTCACTTACAGCGCTGCTCATCGGAGTTATCTCTGTCCACCACATTAAACTTAAGCAGAAGAGCGAATTGAAAATAAAATAAATCCGACAAATGGAGAAGGGTTTGAAAAGGGACAAAGTGCCCGACTTCTTTTGAGTGTAAATGTATAAATAGATGCACTGAAAATGCAGAGAAAGAAGCTCAGACGTATTGATCGCTTCTCCTCTTCCTTCCCCGGACCGTATACATATTTATGATGCTGACGTAATTATTAATCTCACTCTGGCTTCACTGTCTAAATGTTCTGACCTTTTCTAAACACACTCCATCACTCAAGGGGCTCAGGTGCAATCTTATTCCACGCTGCGGGCCTGACTGAACACACACACACTCACACACTCACCGAAGGATTCTCAGAAGGACGGACGGAAGACGCACACAAAGGAGAAGACCGACCGGCCCACTGACCTGTACTGCGGCGTCCAGCCGGTGACGTCGCTGTTGTTCAGGGTCCAGCGGTACTGCAGAGGCCAGCTGCCTCCAGCCAGGCAGGTCAGCACCAACCTGTTTCCCTCCAACACCACCTGCTGCCTCAGTCCACCCCCCCGCAGGTAGGGAGCCACCTCTGACAGACGGAGACACAGACGAGGACAATGTGTTATTTTCGGTGTGCGAAAACAGCCGAGTCGGCCAATTTCGTGAGAAACGTAAAAAGTGTTGGCTCTGATCTCCGAGCGGTTTTATTCAGATCAGCGTCTTCTTCCCTGCTCCTGCGGCCGGGACTCTGACCTTTTCGCCTCATTCGCACTATAATTAGTAACAGCGAGGGTGTGAAATCTGCCGAGGCTCGCTGACAGGATTTACCTCTGGAGAAAGTCCAGTCCATTAGTGGAATCTGTCGGAGCGTTCCTCTGCCACGCTAGAAAAGACTCACTTTCATGTTGCTTCTGCAGAACCCGCCCGTAAAGTGTCAGTAAATGTAGTGAACAAAGAACAGGCATTTTGTTTCTCTCGATACACATTTAGAATGCTCATCCTTTGATGGATCCCATTTCGTCCCATTTTGCCGCGTTTGTGCAGCGATCACCGTTCCGGAAAAGCAGCGGCCCCATCACGGTTTCTCCCCGCAAGGACTCACTGAGACTCGACGACTTCTCCTGCCGGCCGCACAGCGGCTGCTGTCGGGCAGCTGTTGAATTGTGTCTAGAGAAACCCGGATGCGTCATCGCAAACAGAGTTAACGTTAACAGCTCTGGACAAATCAAATTGGTCCGATGTCATACGATTGGAAAGAATCGTTCAAACCGTTTCCTTTAGTCGTCAACGCTTCACCTCATCTCCTTTTCCTGCAGGAAGACGCCGTGTCCGATACCGTGCTGCACGTTCACTGTGCTGCTACACAATCCAGTCGGCGCGCATGCTGATGGTACAATGTGGCCCTTGAGGTGATGCTGCTGAATGGCTGGCCCGGCCTTGAAGGGTACGTTTGCTGAATGGCTTTTCTGCACCTGCAGTCTGAACAATGACGTCCGGTCTTTAACTCTCAGGTGTTTAGGCTCGGCGCTCAAGCGTAGCGCCACAAAGACTGCAGAGTCGGTGCGCGGCGGGCTGGCTGTGGGTCCGGGCGCCATCTGTTGAGGCCTGGACCCACAGCATCTGATGTTGGGTCCATAGACAAAAAGATGTACTCAACTCATCAACCATTCACACACAGACAGGCCGGCTGGGAGGGGAGGGGGGGGGTGCAGTGTTATCTGCGTGCTACAGTACATGTGGACAGGTCCACAACTCCGAGGCTTTGAGTTTTAAATTCTCTCTCTGTTTCTCTCCTGTCAGCTCAATCATCTCTCCTCCTGGCCGCTTCGACTTCCTCCCATCGGTGTTTCCTCAAGCTGCCTCCATTCGTCTCCGTTTCCTTCCTGATTCCTTATTCCCTGTGGATGTCTCAGGGCCACCCTTTTCTCCCCTTCTCCTCCTCCGCTTTCCACCCTCTCTCTCTCTCTCTCTGTCTCCCCCTCTCTCACTTCTAAGATTGATAGCTGCCTGCTCCCTGCACTAGAGGAAAGTGTTCCATCTAAGATAAATTTATATGAGTTTCTGTGTATGTGTGTGCGTAGGTGTGTGTGTGTGTGTGTATGTGTGTGTGTGAGGATTTATTTGGAATATTCCATTTCTACAGACGACGGCTGGCAAAGTGGACTCCCAATGTCATAGCGCTGACCAGCACCATAACTCACAGCTGTGGGCCGGCCTGCCCTGTGTGTGTGTGTGTGTGTGTGTCTTTGTATGTGTGTGAGCAGCAAACATTGCAGCCTTTACAAACTATCAAATGTGACCCTCAGTTAGAAAGGCGGGCTCTCCAACTCACTGTACAAATAGAGAGATGTGGACGCTTTGCACCTGCTTCCATGCGTTGCACTCAAACTTTACTTTATGCTGCTTCCTGCTGCCATTCAAACCCTTGTCCACTGCAGGCGGGATCCATTAGAAGGTACACATCCGAGAGGAGCAAGGTCAGGTAACGCCTGTTTCACTCACTGATGTCCCCACCCACGCTCCCCCCCAGCTGTCCCTCAATGTCACTCTGCCTCCCTCACGCCCTTCTCTCTCCCCCCCGAGCTCCACCATCCAACCGGCTTGTCCCTCTATCGAGTCGGCCTGCCCTCTCTTCGTCTCTCCCTTAAGTCTCTTGTTGCCCCTCGGCCCCCGTCTCTGTCAGAGTGTGTGGCAGCTCAAGGTCTCTGCTTTTTTGCCTCTTCGGAAGGAAAGGAGGAGGATGTGGGGGAGGAAGAGGGGGAGAGGGGTGGACCGTCGCCTAACAGAAAGACTGGCCTCTAAATGTGACAGGAGACTCAAGAGGCAGATGTGCATGCAGACACACACCCCCTCCTGCGCTCGCGGGCCCGGTGTGGTGACGCCGCCGAGGCAGATACTGGGGAGGAATTCAATTTGCCGGGGAGATGAGCGCTGCGATTGAGGGGAGGAGAAAAGGACAGGAGGAGGGGAAGGATCAGTCTCCCTGTCCACTACCATCCCGCCCTCTCTCCTCTCTCCTTTGTCTCCTTCACTGGTAAGTGTGGAGGCCCTTGTATGACTCCTTCACGAAAGGGGGACAGGAACCAGTGGTTTTGCTATTTAGGTGATCGAACAAACAAAAGAACAGGTTTGCATTCAGATGCACAACGTGGTGGGAATATATTTAAGAGCCCTGACTGAAGAGTGAGAGCGCAAGGAGAAAAGTTGAGCCGTGGATCACATTCCAACAGTGCTGGCCTAATTATTGGTAATGTTTGTGTGTGTGTGTGTGTGTGTACGCAGAGTGTGTGTGTGTGGGTGTGTGCGTGCGTGAGAGAAAGTGAATCAGTATTCATAGACTGTAGCCAATTCTGCCAGCTATGTCTCACAGCAGGGGTTCAGCTCTATGAAGATAAAGTGATTTTTCTGGAGTGAGTGACCCTAATTCTGACCTGACACACACACACACACACACACACAGACACACACACCATGTCTTTTTGACGCGTGGGGTTGAAGGGGAGAAAATAACTACATCAGACTCCTTTATCACCAGTAGATTTTCTATGAATAAGCGGGTAAAAGTTGCATAGCTTTGCACTTTTCTTTCCATGGTAACGGCGGCCTATTTCATTACGGGGGTGCGAACGAGTTCTACTCCTTTTTAATCTAATTCGTCTGCCAGCGCTTGTTTCTACAGGCATTTAAAAACACTTAATTGGACTGACAGCGTGTGAAGCGGGAGGAAGAATTATGAGTTGAGATTTTGAAGTTAGAAAAATAGGGTCGAAAAAGAGGCTAATTAATTAAACGATGTAAAGTGCGTGTGTGGAGGGGGGGGTGATGAATTCAATTTCATCTCCCTGCGTAATAACACAATAGGAACGTATCAGACCTTTGCACCTGAAATAGTTCACAGTTGTCCTGAATACTCTGCACGTAGAGATGATAGAAGTAAAGACGACTTTTTCATATTTTCCCCAAAACTCGCAGCCCAGGATGCACCGCCGAGCGTCTCCATGACTCCTTCTGTTTGTTGCCCCAGATAACGTTTCATTGAAGTTTCATTACGTGAGGAACACCGCGTCGGACAGCCTTCACGTCAGCAGAAACGCTCTACATCACGTTTAATAATGACAACAGCTGATGGCGAGTAAGCGCGGAGACCAACGCGCCGGAGGAGACGGTTCAGATGCTTTTAACCGTAAAAGTCAACTAAAGAAAGACGTGGAGAGGTGTACGATCACTGGAATCCGGAGGAGGTGACTGACGGCGGTTTGAGCTGCGGCTCCGACCCGGAAGCTGATGGAGTGGAAAATAATTACATTCTCTGTCACGGCACGTCGCTTTGTTTGCCTTTTCTAAATGATTCCTTCCGCTGTGCCGCGATGGCGTAAAATAAAAAGGGTAAGCGGCTAATAACAACCGTCATGCGAGCGGCTGGATCCAAACACTGGACTTGTTACCCCCCCCCCTCCCTTCCCCCCCACGCCGCCTGGTTGACGCCAGACAGATACGGGGCCAGTTCATCAGTCGTGATGCCTGAGCCACGACCGAGACAAGTGCAAACCCGCCTGACAGACCCCCCCCTCCCCTCTCTCCCCCCTCTCCCCCCCTCCCTCTCACATCCAACCCGGAGCTCTAACTGAGAGAAGACAAGATGACAGCTGAGCACCAAACACCTGCTGCCTTTGATGATGATAAAATCAAAGCGCCTCTGACGTTGAGCCGCGAGGCCGCTGGCCCTCCGATCCCAGCGGGCCAGCGGCTGAATAGGAAGACGAGTCCCGGACAGGAGCCTCACCCCCCCTCTTCTTTTCCCCCCGTTAGAGCGGTGGGAGGGACGGAGTTTACCTCGTCAAGTTAACGTTCTTGGCTTTCGCCCGCGAGTGTGTCTGCTCCTTTGTGTCTCCTCCTCCTAACCCCCCCCCAACAGCATGTAACCACATTAACATTCTGCTCCGCTCGGCTGCGGTACAGTAGAAGGTGAGATCCAACAAATGTGCCCAATTAGTGATCGGTGATCATATTGTCTTTGGCCGGTTTGGCCGGCGCTCACTCCGAGCCGGACGTGTTCCTGTTTGAAAATGTCAGTGTACGGCTTCCTCTGGCATCCGGTGATGCCAGTGTCATGTGTCAGTTGGTATGCGTGTCCACCCTTTGAGCACCGAAAATGTAAATCTTTAATATGTTGTACTTAAATTGGACAATGTGCATTAAGCTGCTTCAGTACATAACAGACAACTCTGTCGTTGTAACTATCTGTGTGTGTGTGTGTGTGTGTGTGTGTGTGTGTACGTTGCGGCTGCATGCGGTCACAGGAGTGCACGCCCATGGAGAGGGAGGGAGCAGTAATTGGGGCAGAAGGGCTAAAGCAGAGGAGTGGGAGAGGGAGGGGTGAGGGTGTTTAATCAGGTGGACTGTGATCAGTGACATTTAAGAGGTGGGCCACACTGCGGGGCACATAATGCGAGGACAGACACACACACAGTGAAACACAGACAACTGTCAGCTCCTATCTCCTGATGCGCAGACGGGTGGAGGGGGGGAGGGGGGTGTGGGGGGGGTGAAATGCATACAACCTGCTCAGACGCCGGCCTCCTTTTCTCT